CATTCATTATCATCATCTTCATATTCACCATCATTATTATTATTATTATTATCATCATCACGACCACCATGCATGCATGCAGGCATCTTGCATGCAACTGATCAATGCACTAGTCCTCACCCCCGAAGATTTGGAGTTCAGAGTTCACCTGAGGAATGAATTCATGAGGGATGGATTGATGGATCATCTTGAGGTGGTGATGATGATGATGATGATTACGATGATGATGGTGATTTTTAGAATAAGGATAACGATGTTGACGACTACATTTCTATGGCGGTGATAATTATGACGATGATGATAAGGATGGTGAAGATGATGATGATGATGACGATGATGACAACAGTATTGGTTTGTGATTGTGCTGAGTTCTGTGCCCGGGTTTAAATGATAATGTTGTAAGCTCATGGATGGCTGAAGGACGTCGAAACAACATCCTGTTGCTATTTATTAATCCTCAACAAAATGAGAAATCTTACTTTATTGTTTGTATTCAATTGAAAAACAATCCAGTTAAGTTATAGCAATGATGTGAATAAATGCACCATGCACCTCTTCAGTATGATAGGCGTGTCGTGGTTGAGGATTGTTTGAATTTGAACCTGTCTTCAACAACCTTCAAACCATCTCGTCACTTGAGTGCATCATATGATGAGAATAATTTGATTGTGGATTGATATTTGGCAGAGTCTGCTGACGACTGACAATGAGGAGCTGAGGACCCAAGTTCAAACGTTCATCGAGCACAAGGAGAATGATTTTGATGAGTTGAGATTGAGATTGGACAACATCAGCTTCAACATGCAGTTCGATTTTCATTAGTTCCTTGCTATAATACAACTATGATAAACATTATAGAGATATTTGTTATAAGTTATAATTATGGATAAGTTGTTACACTCACAAACAACAAATCCCGTTATTATTTTGAAACGATACATAACGATATGATAACGAGGTATTGAAAACTATATAATATCATGTGCTCGAGTATGTGCACAATTTGTATGATGATTTTTGAGTTTTTGAAAGATAGTATTTGAACCAAGACATCGCGCAATAACAATGACGCTTGGCACATATACAGTCTGCCCTAAGTTGTTTTCCCGCCAACTCCGCTTTACAAAATGTACTGTTTTAAATCAGAAAAAAAAGTTAAAGGTCAACTACACTCTTTCAAAGTTCAGAGGATTCAACAGAGCGCACAAACATCGTAAATGAACACGTGCTAAACGACGCATCACACACGAAACATGTGATAGGCGGGGATCTTTTTGTCTTTTCAAACCCGGTTACTGTGAAACAGCACCAGGCGACCTTAACCATTAGACCATCACGCCGCCTAGTTATTCCGCCCAGAAAACAATCATTCAATTAAAAAATTAAACAAAAGTTACCTTTCTTTTTGCTAATATTTTTGTATGCAATTATATCGATTCGACACATTATAATAACTATACGAGACAAAATTTTTTTTTTCGTATTTTTTATTTGATACGAGACTTTTTGGAGAATGTCTCGTTTTAATAACGATACGATATTTTTAGAATCTTTATTAAACCAGTCATTCAATTGGAAAAAATTAAATAAGTTTCAATTTTTTTATAACCCTTTATTTTTTAACAATTTCCACACATTGAAATAATCGTACGAGACGAAAATTGTGTCTTGTATTTTTTATTTCGATATGATAGACTTTCCTGAAAATGTCTTGTTTAAATAACGATAGGAGATTTCTGGTATTGTTATTAAAAGATACGAGATTTTTCGTATCGTTTTATAACGATACGAGATTTTTTTTATCGTTATTATTATTAAATCTCTATTGATAACGTATAACAAAAATGTATAACACACATATACGTACATACATACATACAACTGAATGCCGACATGTGCAATTAACGGCAAATCAAAGTGTTAATCCATTTGTTACTTGATGTTTGACGGTTCAGCGTCACTCATGTTTTGGTTTTAACATACATACATACATACATACATACATACATACATACATACATACATACATACATACATACATACATACATACATAAGTACATCAGGCAGACACACATACATTCTTATTACAAAAAAGCGTTTTCAGGCCCGAGGAATTTTATGCTTTTTAACGCATCATTTTTGTTGCATGCGTTTGCTCAATTCACACGATTCAACAGCTATAAAATGTTTTAAGATGACATTTTGATTGATATTGACAATTTGGGGACATTTTTTGTGCATTTGCAAATTTTCTATATTGACAGGTTTTAAATAATTTAAAATCAGTTTAATGCAAATTCCTCTGATGAATGCCAACAGAGTGAAAACCAATAATAGCATAATAATAACAATAATAAAATTTGAATATAAAAATTTTTAAAAGTTGAAATCTGGTTATTTAATGAGTGTATTCGATTCCAGGTTATACGTCATGATATCAATCTATTAACATATTCCACCTATATCTGCATATCTGTTTCCATTCCTGTATTGTATATTTAAAATGACATTTCACTTTATTTCGTTTTTAAGTTTTAAATTTTTAAATCCCTAGAGTAAATATATTTTTGCCAATATTGCAATTTGTTAACAATAGTGAGAGTAGAGTGGTGGGGGTCGGAAAATATCCAAGGCAATTATTTATAAAAATAATTTTTGAAAACTGTACAGAGATATACAATGTACCCCCAGAGTCGTAGGGCACTGAATAGCTTGGTCATACCGCACCACACACACACACACACACACACACACACACACATACACACTGCACAAACTATTTTTTAAGTTTACTTTTAACTAAGAAGTGTGTAGGGTTCATATACTTGTAAATGAACTTAGATTAATATAAATATTTCGTCTTCAAAATGTTTTTTTTGTTTAAATTCAAATTTTATTGGTTAATATAAATGAAAAAAATTTATTTTTGTTTAAATATATTAATTAAAAAATTATTTTTATAATTTTGTTATTAAATTCAAATCATTTTTTAAAATTATCAAAAAAAAAAATTTTTAGGCTCCTTTTTAGAACCTTAGCTAAAAATTGAATTACATCCGTCTACCTTTAAAAAAACAACAATCTAATCTTATCTAGGTGGGGATATTTTTTAATTATTTTTACTGAGGTTTTTACTTGTTTGTTTTTTGTCGTTAATTATTTTTTATCAAAATGTTTTACAATTGTTATTTAATTAAAAATTAATTAATTAATTAATTAAAAATTAATTTAATTTTGTGTTTCACAACTGAAAGAATCGAACCAAACAAACTGAAAAACAGGATAACAAAATTTTATTTTTTATTATTAAAAATTATATTCACTAATAATTATCTAGGTGAGTCTCTCCATTTCATTTTTTTTTTATTTTTCAAGTTTGTTGAAATTTATTGTTAATTAATTAGATTAATTATTTTTTAAATTTAACTAATTTTTTTAAGTTTTGAATTTAATGTTGAAATCTATTCAATCAATTTCAACAGATTTTATTTTAAATTTTTTTATTTTGTATAATTTATTTGATAATTATTTAAAATAAATCATTAAGTAATTAAAATTAATTAAATTATTTTTTATATTATTCAACTTTTTAACACTATAATATTATAATTCTTATTGTACTTAGTTTTAGCTCAATAATTAATTAAATTTATTATAATATAGTTGATAATAAAAACTAAAGCATTGTGTCTGTTGAGTAGATCTAAGACTCAAAAAAAGTACACACATATGAATATGTGCATAAATTTTCTGGACACGTAGCATAGGTTAAATGCTTGAATTTATTATTATTCTTCCACAATTTGCTTGTTGGTTAGTGTTTATGTAAGTTATCAAACCTAGTTATCTAGGTTCAGTTGGTTCTTATATTTTTTATTTTATATATTTTTTCAATGTTTGCACAATTAATATTTTTATAATTTAAAATAATAATATTTTTAAAGTTTGAAAAGCACAATGAAGTTAGTAGTTACGTGATTCCAACATAAAAAAATACAGCAATCAAACAATTTGTTATTGAAACAAATAATATATAAATGTTATTTTATTCATATTGTCATTCTCTGTGTTAGCTATGGTCCCGTCGTTAGCAAAGTACTGAATAGATTAACAATAATAATATAATTAGACCCAAACCTTTCATAATAGTGATCAATATTTTTAACTTTCACATTTTATTTTTTTTTTTTGATATATTTATTTATTTGTTTATTTGTTTGCTTGTTTGTTTGTTTAATTATTTGTTTATTCATTTATTAATTTTCATTAAACTTAAATATCTGGCTTCGTTATTGTTTGTCAGTGACTCTTACTATCACTCCATATCAAATTATCATTCATTAACAATTGTAAGTATTTCTAAAGATCTTATTATTATTATTATTGTTATTGTTAATTTTTCATCAATAAATCACCTCACATAAATATTCATTCGTATAGCCTGGCTGGATGTATTTAGTTTAACTGATCTTATTAAGCTAATTAAGCCTTATTTAAGAATTTAGTTCATTTATTTATAAAATGCTTCATCAACTAGCTGATTAATTAATTGATTAACTAATTAGTTAATAAATTAAAAATTAATTAGTTAATCAAATTGATTGATTGATTAACTGATTGTTTGATTGATTGGTCAATTGATTAGTTTATTAATTAATTGACTGATTAATTAATTAACTAATTAACTAATTAATTTGAATTAATTAATTAACCCATTTCAACAAATTGACCTCTTCCATTCCCCCACTCATTCGCTCTACCTAACACTTCAGCGTTTATCAGCATATCTTGAGTAATGTTATTATTTTCTGGGAGGCTATTTTAAATGCTCAACCGTCATCATAATAATACCATTACTATGAGTATGATTATGATTATTATTGTTATTATTATTATTATTATTAATGGTAGTGGTAGTAGTAGTAGCAGTAATAATAATAATAGTAGTAGTAGTAGTAGTAGTAGTAGTAGTAGTAAGTAGTAGTAGTAGTAAGTAGTAGTAGTGGTGGTGGTAGTAGTTGTAGTAGTAGTAGTAGTAGTAGTAATAGCAGTAGCAGTTGTAGTAGTGTAGTAGTAGTAGTAGTAGCAATTGTATTAGCAGTAGTAATAGTAGTAGTTGTAGTAATAGTGCTGACAATAATATTCTTATAAATGGTAATGAAAACTTTGAAATACACTCATACTACAGTTACTGACTCATGCTTCTACTTTTTTTCATATTATTTTTAAAATTTAAAAAATAAATCTAATTTATATAATGAGGACTTAATTGATTGGTTAATTTTATTTGAGTTGAGTTTAATTAAATTTTATTAGGTGAATAATTAAATTTTATTAATAAAATGAAAATTTTGTCTTCAGAAGGATGTCCGAAAAAGACAAAAAAGATAAAGATAAAAAATCCAACAGACTGGTTAACACTGCTATCATCGTCATCACCATCAATCACCATCATATCATCATCATAAGTCACATCAATCACATCATCATGTATATCACGACCAATCATTCCTTACGTACAGTTCAGTTTCGGTGGCAAGGACCGGGACAAGAAGGTGAAAGCAGAGAGACCGAAATCCAAACTCACTCAAGTTTGTTGATGTTTGTTGCTCTAGATTGTTGTTTTGTTGTAGTTATTTTGGTTGTTCTTGTTTTGTTGTTGGAGTGTTGATGTTGTTGTGTTGTTGTTGTTGGAGTGTTGTTATTGTTGTTCTTGTTGGAGTGTTGTTGTTGTCTTGTGGCATTTTTATGACCATTTTGTCAGGTAAAGTTTTCCATTTTCCGAATTTATAGTTTATAATTAATTATTAATTATTTTATCATTTTATAAATTATATCATGGGTTATTTTGTGAGTTTTATTGCGTTGATGGTGAAAATTATTGTTATTACTGTTATTAATGTTACTGTATTTAACATTTTTACATCATCACCCCTATCATTTTGACCGTCGTCACTGTGTCATTATGATCTCTATCATCACCACCATCATCATCATGTCGTTTAATCATAATCACCACCATCAACATCCTCATCATCATGTTATATCATTAGCACCATCAGCATCATCACCATCATCCTTATCATCATATTATATCATTAGCATCATCACCACCATCAGCATCATCAGTGTCATCATCATCATCATGACGGCAATCAGGTGGAGGAGAACAATGGTGATGAGGAGCAGGTGAACATCATCAACTCACTCAGTGATAATGAAATTAACAAGAAGTTCGAGCAAATGCTGGTAGGTGGGTTGGGGGGTGTGACGGTGGTGGTGTGGATTATTATGCTAAGGGTGAAAATGACGTTGGTGACGTTGATGATGATAGAATCATGCTACTACTATTACTACTACTACTACTACTACTACTACTACTACTACTACTACTACTACTACTACTACTACTACTACTCCCACTACTACTACTATACTACTACTACTACTACAACTAATAATAATAATAATAATAATAGTTAATAATAATAGTTAATACTAAAAATAGTAATAATGGTAATGTACTAATTAATAAATGTAAGTTTTGTGTGTGATTTTGACATAGTGGTGATGGTGATGATCATGTTTTGATTCATCATCATGATTATCATAGTGATGATAATGATGATGGTGATGATGATGGTGACGTAATGAGGGTAGTGTAGTGATTCAGATGATAATGTTTTTTTTTATAAAATATTGACACATGGCATTTAGGAGAGTAGATTTTTAAATGTTCTATTCTAAGTGCATATTTTCATTTTTATAAGTCATCATCCACGCCATCATCGTCGTCATCATCACGATCATCGTCGTCATCACTATTTTTATCACCTTCTATGTTCTTGTATGTTTGGTGTGTATTGATGTGTGCGTGTGTGGATGTATCTACTGAAATTCATACATATATGTACAGTACATGTTGGGAAGTTTATACTGTTATATCATATCTGCTAGGGAATGATCGAATTACGCTATATAATTAATTATTGTTATCTTGTTATATTTGTTATTTTTGCTATATTTGGAATTTTTGGATTGTCAGAATATTTTGTGCATAAGGGGTCAGGAGTAGTGAAGTCAATAGTGAGGTTTGAACTTAGAAGATTAGTGTTGGTAGTAACGAACGTTAAAGTTTACAACAATAATATATATGCGTGTTTACATAATTGCCTGTATGTATGTATGAGGTACAACACGTATGTGTGTATTTGTTTGTAATTAAATTACTGCATAGAAATGCATGCATGCATCTACCTTCACACATCCATCCCACACACGTAGAGATAATTTCATGCAGATATGTACTTGTCTTTCCAGTAAACATCCACCAACCAACCAACTAACTAACTAACAAACTAATGAGCATTTGATATGTATTCGTGTTGTGCTGCACACATAGACAGACATATTCTATTTCACTGCATACTGATTAATTAATTAACATTTCATTTCTTATCATCTACGTTGTTGTTATCATCGTCGTCATCTTCGTCATCGTCATCACCACAATTATCATCCTGTGTTATTTTCCATCTTATTCCTTAGCGTTCTAAATCACAATGATCAGCATTATTAATCACCACCGGATTCATTTCCATCACCTTTTTTAATTATCATTATCACCGTCTTATCATCATCATCTACGACTGATGATGATGCTTGAATGCTGGGGTAGTTCTTTGATGATGATGTTGATGATGATGATGATGTTGATGACTATGATGATGATGATGATGTTGATGACTAGATGATGATGATGATGATGATGATTATGATTATGATGATTATGATTATGTAATAATTATGAATTAGTAACATACGATTGTTTTTGAACGTGAACGTTGAAATTAGGATGATATGAACCTGACCGAGGACAAGAAGGAGCCATTAAGAAAGATGAACATCATCCAAAAGAAAAGCATGCTCATCATGCAGAATAAGGGATCCAAAGCCGTTCGTATCTCTTTTATTCTTTTATTTATTCGTTCATTCCTTCTCTCATTCATTCGCTGGTTTCATTCATTTCTACAGTATTATTTAGCTTTTAAAGTTGGATTTAGAAAATTATTCAACTGTTATTGGTGCTGTACCTGTTATCATCATTGTTGTTGGGGGGGTTGGTTTCCAGCTGGTGTTAGGAGTGGAGAGGTGGTTGCAGATGTTGAACTACCCGTCCAGCTATTTATTTTTCGATCTGTTGATAAATCATCTTAATCCAACTTTTGGGCCCACTTCTTCCATTTAAGCATATAATGACCAAAATTTCAGCCATAAATCATTTAATCAAATGTAAATTCAACCAAGTGTAAATTCTTAAATTGTAAACAATCAATCCGTCAATCCTTCCAACCACTACCACCACCCCTCGCCACCACCACCACTCGACACAGAGCCATGGCAAAATGGACTACATCGAGGCAATAAAATAAATAAAGAGGAAATAAATGCACATTGGCATGTGCATTTATTTCTGTTACTATGGCCAGGCTTCAACTGATTGTTTGATCTCAAAATTAATATCCACAGAAAATGGAGAGTCTGTCACTGCAATTGTTATGATGATGATGAAATGACAGTTATGATGATGAAATGACATGATGTTGATAATGATTATGATGATGATGATGATGATGATGATGATGATAGTGATATAAGAGTAAGAAATGCAGAAATAGTGACACATACGCACACGCACATGCACAAACACACACGCACACACACAAACAACATCGACACTACAGTATGGACTGCAAGAAGTGATCCAACATGATGAGGCACTGACGATCCTGGCACGCTGCATCGACGTCAGAGATGTCCACACCATGAAGGAAACCCTCCAAATCATGGCCGCCCTCTGTCTCGTCAGGTTAGAGGGCTAGGGTTAGGATTGTGGGGGTGGTGGTGGTGGTGATGATGATGTGTGGATGTCGTGGTTATTCTGTGATGATGTTGATGATGAGGAGGACTATGATGATGATGTTCAAATGTTGTGGTAGTTCTTTGATGATGATGTTGATGACTATGATGATAATGATGACTATGATGATGATGATGATGATGATGATGGTGGCTATGATGATGATGATGATTATGTAATAATTATGAATTAATAACATTTGATTGTTTATGCCAATGAGACGATGATAAGCAAAACAATTATTAATGAATCGTGTCTATAATCTACATGATGGTGACAATGATGATGAGTGTGTTGTGATAATGAAGTTATAAGAAGATAAATGTGATAATGGAGGATGATGACGATGTTGACAATGATGATGAGTGGTGATAATGAAGTTATGAGAAGATAAATGTGATAATGGAGGATGATGACGATGGTGACAATGATGACGATGTTGTTGAGGATGATGTTAACAATGGAAGCGAAGATAATTACAACGTCATAACGCCACCAACACATCAGGCACGAGAAAGTCTTGGACGGTCTGACAATAAATGGCGAGATGAAAAACATGGAGAGGTTCCTTTCCATCCTGCAGGGGTTCACTGTCGGAGATGTGGCTCTTAAGGTCTTTTCTTCTTTTTCATCTTCAATTTCGTTGCTGTTTGTTTTATGTTGTTGTTTATTCATTTAGTTGTTGTTGTTGTTCATTTAGTTGTTGTTGTTGTTTGTTTGTATGTAGGATCACTTTTGTAAGCCATCTACCACTTTAAAATTGATCATCTGAACAGTTCTAAAAACACCAGCACTACTCAACCTTCCTTCCGTAACTCTCCAATGTACTTCAATGCTACTTCCATCCCCTTGTATAAATGTTTTACATTGATTTGAACTTGTTTTTTTGAGAGGAGTCAAAATGTTTTCTCAAAGAGTAATGTATATAACATTTGCAACACTTAAGTTTGCAACACTAGGCTAGTTAGAACGTTTGAAGATGTCTAACCAACTGGAGTGAATATTAATTATTATTATTATTGATTTATTTGAAAGAGAATTTAGTTCACTTGTGATTTTTGATAAAATTATTGGCGAGCCGAAATGTTGCCTACTTTGATTTTCAACATTTTGGATTTTTTTATATTGCTGTTGTTATCTTTGTTTTGTTGTTTCGATTTAGAAGTCACAAGTTTGAATCATGGATTTGAACTGCAACTCGTGACTGAGTTGAATCTCAGTACGTTTTGTGTTTATGTGCTGATAAACCTTTTCATTTTACTTGACATTTTTTGAAGTATTAAAATAAATTAACATTTAAAAGTTAGTTGCTATTGCAAGAAAAATAAAGGCTAATGTTATAATATTTATTCAGATCATTTGTTCGTGTTGGTTATTTAATATATGTTAATTATTTTATGTTATGTATGTTTGTTATCGTCACATTCATTATCATCATCTTCATATTCACCATCATTATTATTATTATTATTATTATCATCATCACGACCACCATGCATGCATGCAGGCATCTTGCATGCAACTGATCAATGCACTAGTCCTCACCCCCGAAGATTTGGAGTTCAGAGTTCACCTGAGGAATGAATTCATGAGAGATGGATTGATGGATCATCTTGAGGTGGTGATGATGATGATGATTACGATGATGATGGTGATTTTTAGAATAAGGATAACGATGTTGACGACTACATTTCTATGGCGGTGATAATTATGACGATGATGATAAGGATGGTGAAGATGATGATGATGATGACGATGATGACAACAGTATTGGTTTGTGATTGTGCTGAGTTCTGTGCCCGGGTTTAAATGATAATGTTGTAAGCTCATGGATGGCTGAAGGACGTCGAAACAACATCCTGTTGCTATTTATTAATCCTCAACAAAATGAGAAATCTTACTTTATTGTTTGTATTCAATTGAAAAACAATCCAGTTAAGTTATAGCAATCATGTGAATGAATGCATCATGCACCTCTTCAGTATGATAGGCGTGTCGTGGTTGAGGATTGTTTGAATTTGAACCTGTCTTCAACAACCTTCAAACCATCTCGTCACTTGAGTGCATCATATGATGAGAATAATTTGATTGTGGATTGATATTTGGCAGAGTCTGCTGACGACTGACAATGAGGAGCTGAGGACCCAAGTTCAACCGTTCATCGAGCACAAGGAGAATGATTTTGATGAGTTGAGATTGAGATTGGACAACATCAGCTTCAACATGCAGTTCGATTTTCATTAGTTCCTTGCTATAATACAACTATGATAAACATTATAGAGATATTTGTTATAAGTTATAATTATGGATAAGTTGTTACACTCACAAACAACAAAACACATCTTGGCAACAACAACAACAACAACCTGTACAAAAACAACAACAGAAATCCACAACAGTGCTGTCAAGTGTTATGTAGTTCCACGCTGGGCACCATGTCCGAGTACTTCTTCCTGTCCATCTTGCAACACTTACTGCTCATCAGAGATGATGGATTTGTCAAGTATTTTTTTAGCTTTTGTAGTAGTTGTTGATACATTTGCAATAATGGCAGCTGTTTGTTGTTTTTGGTGCTTTTGCCGTAGTTGTGATTATTGTTTTGATTGTTATGTCTGCAGCAGTAAAAATTATTGCTATAATTGCAGGGTTGCGGTTCAGTAATTGGGTTAGCGTTGGGCTTGCGTGTATGGTTAGTAGCAATGTATGGAATGGCCGAGTTAACACAATCGCTTGCAGTATGAATCAGGCTATTATTGATTATGCTTGTCTATAGTTTAAGTAATAGTTTTATTATTATTATTTTCATTATTAAAACACTTGTTGCACTATCCAACAATTACCTGGAAAGGTGACCTTTTAACTCTGTAGGAAACTTTGAAAAGAGTTTCATGCAAGGGGTCTTTCGGAAGATTTTTCTGCAAGCTGTTGCTGACTGTTGACCCTGCGAAGGCCAAGGTTTTTGACTCGACATTTAATTTGGCAAAAGGAAGTACAAGTAGATTCAAATTGTTGGAACGTAATCTGGCTAGTTTCCTCGGTGCATCTCTGGAGACGATCTTTCCTTGCAGATATTTTGAAACTAAACAGTTAACACATTTGAACACGATGGCTGCAATTTTGAGTTGTGTTCTTTGGCTTATTGTCAGCAAATGTAGATTGCGTAAAATTCGTGTAACGTGTTCATGTTTCAATCCACTAGCTGCAATTTTTATAACTCGATTTTGAATAGATTACAATTGAGCAACTAATTTAGTTGATATTTCATAGAACAGAGCATCGCAGCAGTAGGCGAGTTTTCAGTCAACGAAGGCAACGTGGTACCAGACTCAGCAGAACATTTTTATTTTATAATTTAAATTTCGCAGTTTGAAGACAGTTATTTTACGTTATTGATTTGACATAGCCTGCGTTGATAAACTGCTTGCAAATCGAAAATGACGCCCAGGTTTCGCATTGAAGTGCAGAACTCGATCGATTGCCATCAACGTTTGTTTATTGAATTAATTGAGTTTCGCGTGCATTAAATTTTGAACGATGCCTGTCCAAGTCTCCATTCACCTGCCAACTTCATTAAGATACCATAGGGACCTTTCCACCTGTGTAGAACGATCTGATAGATCTGCTGGCAGGGGTTTAAATAACAATGATAATAACAACAGCTGAAAGTTGCAGTAGCGTTAATAACAGCTTTGGTGAAAAGTGTTAGTAATAGTAATAGTTGTTAGAGAAAAAAAATGTGTAAGTCCGCAAAAATTTTAATTTAAAGTATTAACATTTTTAACGATGTGATGTTTTGTGAGGCTGTTGGTGCTGCTGCAAATGATGCTGATAGTGATGGTGATGATGATCCTGCTGCTGCAAATGATGATGATGATAAAGATATTAGTGCTGCTTTTAAAGATGATGTTTGTTAAGTTATTAATAGTTAAATTATTTTGCGATGGTGAGCTGACGATTGAGACAATGCTGACGACGACGATATTAATTATGATAATGTGATGATGTGATGATGATGGTGATGATAATGATGGTGGTGATGATGATGACATCACAGACCCCTCTACTACGAGCTGATCGAGGAATGTGTCTCACAAATAGTTCTGCACAAGAATGGCCTGGACCCAGACTTCAGGAAGACCAAGAGATTTGATGTCGATGTGGATTCTCTATTTGGTTAGGATGTCTTTTATGCGAAATTAGATTTGTATTTCAGGTTCCTACGTTCATTATAATAAATTGTTCCCATGGTTTTTAACATTCTCGTGTGGTTTTTTTTTTAATTCAATAACAATTTTCTTGAATCTTCAAATTATTCACAAATTGAAACCACCCACCCCACCCAGCGAGCAACACAGGCTCCGACAACATTCGCTCATCTTCTCCATCTCTCTCCATCCGACAGCCAGGAAGTATTTCCATGGCAAAGCTACAGCAACAGCAGAAGCTGGAAGACGCCATAACTGCAAGACAGGAGGCTGAGGCGAAGATGGCCGGCCTGGAAGAGAAGTTGAAGAAGAGTGAGGTGGAGAATGCGGAACTTAAAATAAAAGTTGGTTTCGTTGTTCTCTGATTTCTGTTGTTATTATTATTATTATTATTATTATTAATTTTATACTATTATTGTTTTGTTGTTGCTATTATAGCTGTGATAATGACGAAAATGTTGATAAGGATAATGATAATATGTTTGCCCCCTCTCATTAAACAGCTTTCACAGTCCATCAAAGAATCAATAGAATCTTCTCTTCGTCCATCTTCACCGTCCCAACCTTCTTCAGAAAATGTTCCCCCAATTCCACCCCCGCTTCCAGGAGGGCCAGGTATTCCTCCTCCACCACCATTACCACCTGGTGGTCCAGGAATTCCCCCTCCACCTCCGTTACCCGGGGGTCCTGGTATTCCCCCTCCACCTCCGTTACCCGGGGGTTCTGGTATTCCCCCTCCACCACCGTTCCCAGGAGGAGCAGGCATTCCTCCTCCTCCTCCATTACCTGGGGGTCCAGGTATCCCTCCCCCACCTCCCTTTCCAGGAGGATCGGGTATCCCTCCACCACCACCGTTGGCGAATGGCATGGCGCCTCCACCTCCTCCCATGCCAGGAACATTTGCTGGAAGACCACTAGGTCAGTTTCTAGTTTTTGTAATATAGGATTACGTGTTTTCATTTTTGTTTTTAGTTGAGCATACAAAAACGTTGATGCATTCTGAGTTTGTGGTTGATGATACATTCTCTGACACGTCACGCAGGATTGACACCACCTGGCGGCTTAACAGGGCTTGAGGGCACACCTGCATCGAAGAAGAAGAAATATAATCCAGAAGTACAGCTGAAGAGAGCCAACTGGAATAAGGTACCAAGAATGATGACGATGGCAGAAGATTGTAAGCGTAGATGATGGTGATGGCTGAAAATTTCTAAGGGTAGCCATGGTTTAATTGTTAAAATCGTTCATTGTTGATGTATAATGTAATAATGCAACCCAAATGTGCAATACTCAGCAGGTTTTTTGTCTTATAGGCCTCTGATGATTAGACTCTAAATTGTAAATCTTTAAATTATTATGAAATTAATTTTGATGTTGAAATAAATTTCCCAGTTGAACGCTCGAGTCGTGACCACGGACTCATTCTGGGCAAATGTCGACGAGGATAAGCTAGCTAAGGACATCGTCTTCGAGGGCATCAAGCTCCATTTCGCTGCCAAAGTTGCTGCTCGTATGTTGGACTGTTTCTTTTATTAACTAGCTGATAAAGTGGCATATTTGGATGTTTAAATGGTCGTCTAGCTGGTATGTTCTTAGGCTTAACTGTTTATTTTGTTGGTTGGTCGGCTTATTTTTTGATTTGGTTTATTGGTTTCATTATTTTTTTTATATATGATTTGTTCTAATTTCTGCTATGAACAATAATTCTTAAATGTTGTTTCGTGATATACAGCAAAAGTTGCAGACGTTACAGACAGTGATAAAAAGAAGAAAGGCAAAGAATTGAAAATTTTGGATCAGAAAACTTCTCAGAATCTATGTTAGGCCAATTTATAATTGTTCACAGTTCACAGTCAAATGTTGTCATTGCATAAATAACATCAATCAAACTGGAGATAAACTCTAAGCTGTCAACCGGCCATTTGTCAGCTTTTCAAATTCTACAGATTCTCCCAATCAGTCGTTGAGACGATGTTTTTTCGGTTAACAAATGATCTATGATATTTTGAGACATTTTTAGTTAATCAAGCCTTTGTGTGAATTCCAGAGATGATTAATATAACGCTCACCTGCAAGCCTTTCGTTTTAAATATTTGTTTCATCTTGTGGACGACCTTCATTCAGTCAGTCTTTCAGATCAGAACCAATCTTTTTTGTGCAAATCTTACGAACCTTCTTCGTGACCAATATTTTTATTAAGCATGCTTTTAAAACCTTTCAAATCCACTCCTCACAGCCATCATGTTGGGGTCGATGAAAATCCCGTACGAAGAAATCAAGAGGCGAATTCTCGAGATGGATGACAAGTTGGATCTCTCACTCATTGAACCTTTGCTCAAGAGTCTGCCTGAACCAGATGCTAGTTCATGAATGGCGTGGTGGATGGATGGATTGATGGCGTGATGGATGGATGAATTCATGGATAGATTGGTGTACAGATGGATGGGGTCGTGTGTTGCATGATTTTACACATCTCAGTGAAGTGAATAAAATTGGTTGTTGAAATCGCCATCAAATGATTTATTTTAATTAATTTAATGCTTCTATGCCAAGTTGTTGAATGAATGAACGATTAAATGATTGATTGAAAAAATGAATGAATGAATGAACGAATGAATGAATGAATGAATGAACGAATGAATGAATGAATGAAAAATGTCATTCACTCCCTAGGTCCTTTCCCAGTTTAGCAATTTAAAAGAGGAATACAACAACTTGACTGAGTCTGAACAGTTCTGTGTTGTTGTTAGTTGATTTGTAATATACTTTTTGATGTAAATATTATGCACGTGTGGTGATTTTTATTTTGTCGCATTTAAATTCTGTTGGTCTGTTTCATTGTTGTTCTGATAAGATAAGTTAGAATTATAACTGATGCTATTTGATGGATTGTCAGATGTCAAGCATTAAAAGATTGGGTCCTCGTCTCAATTCGACAGCTTTCAAGTTGAAGTTCGACGAAATTGTTCAAGAAATTAAACCGGTATGTGGTGCAGTGATTGAATGAACAAATGATTGAATCAATGATGGTTTGAGTGAATGAATGAATGATTGATTGATTGATTGATCGATCGATTGATTGAATAATTGACTATATAAATGATTGAATAATATACTGTAGATACTAATACTTTAGAACAATCTCAAATTTCAAGTTCTTAAATTTTAATTTAAATTACGACTTTCTCTCAAAACAGATTTAGTCATTTTCATTACACGATATTTTTCAAATTCTACGTTCATCTTCTGCCTATACATCCATGCGTCTGTCCAACCACACATGCATCAACCAACCATCCATTCATATATTCATTCTTCCATCCATGCATTCATCATGTATTCATTCATTCATTCATGGATGCATGCATGCACCAGGACATAGTGACGGCCACCGAGGCTCTGGAGGAGGTGAAGAGCAGCAAGAAATTTGCAGGCATCCTCCAACTGATCCTCCTCATGGGCAACTACATGAATGCCGGATCCAGGAATGAACAATCCGTCGGATTCGATCTCAAGTATCTCACCAAGGTTAGATGATGCTGATCATGATGATGATGACGATGATGCTAAAGATGATGCTGGAGATGATGATGAAGATGATAAAAATGTTGAAGATGATGATGATAATCACCCAATGGTGGTCTCGACGACGAGGTACATTATTACACAAAATCTGGACCATCACAATTGACGCTGGTATAGTTGATGATGAAGTAATTAGAAGGGGCGGTGCCTGTTCATTGTCGATGCAGTGTCCGGGTTCGTATGTAAGGAGACCCCCGCGTGTGATGCGTTGATACACTCTGTCTTTGTTGTAGTAATGCGCCTCAGTCGCTTGCCATGGTTTTACATAAAATGACATTATTATTGTTATTATTATCATTATTAAAAAGTAAATGTAATGAAATGATAATAATATTTTTCAAATTATCGTTTGCACGAACATTAGTTATCCGACACGAAGACAGCTGACAACAAAAAGACTCTCCTTCACTTCCTCTCAGAAACTGTCGACGCATCCTACAGTGACCTAATGAACTTTCCAGAAGAACTTCATCATGTACATCAAGCTTCCAAAGGTCAGAGTTCAATGTTACTTCATTGAACTTAGTTTTTGCCATCTTTGTTGTCTCTTTAAATAATATTTCAGTCACGAATTCTTAAAACATGCTGGGTTAATTTTTAGACACTGTTGTAATTTCATCATGATTATCGTCATCATCACCATCATAATCTCATCATCATCAGTATCCGATGAGAACATCCAGAAGAACTTGGCGTCCATGTTGAAGTCAGTGAAGCAGCTGGAGACGGACATCAAGAATTCAGAGATGGACAAGAGTGCTCCTGATAATGATCACTTTGTTTCTGTTATGAAAATATCCTTATTTGATTTGCTGTGATGATGATGATGTTCAAAGTGATGATTAATGGCATCATTTGTGGCAGTTATGGTTGTATATATTAGTAGTTGCACTTATAATAACCACCTTCACGCACTTTCAGATTAGATTATTCCTGCTTGAGGGATATTTGAAAGGTAAATGATAGAGATTGTGATTAAAATGATCATGACATGGGTGTGGATGGTAGTGTTGATGATGCGAATGATGATACAATGCAATACAAGGCAGCACGATAAAATACTCAGGGATTAAAGTAATTTCTACTTAACGACTTGAACACAAATTTCAATCTGAGGCGCAAGAACAATGCGAACTGCTGACAGAAATGTCGAAGAAGATGTGCAAACTCTTTGAAGATACCGCCGTCTACTTTGCATTCGACCCGAAGAAGTACAACATGGAGGAATTTATGGGGGACGTCAAAGTTTTCATCGATGGCTTTGTGGTCAGTTGATTGAGATGACGTTGGTTTCCTGTACTATATTAACTATCATTTTCATCATCTGGCAACAATAACAATAATCTTCCGTAATATGAGCAACTTTTAAACTATAAATACAACCAGCAAGCCACAAAGGACAACATGAAGATTCGGGAAGTTGAGGAGAAGGCGAGAAGAGCGAAGGAGCTGCAAGAGAAGAAAGAGAAGGAGAAAGAAGAAAAGCTGTCTAGAAAGAATCTCATCTGTGATCTGGATGCAGGTTTGTTGGCTCAATCACTTCTTCCAAATCAATCACATCCTCCGTATCAATCACATCCTCCGTATCAATCACATCTTCCAAATCAATCACATCTTCCACATCAATCACATCTTTAAAATCAATCATATCTTCCAAATCAATCATATCTTCCTAATCAATCACATCTTCCAAATCAATCACATCTTCCAAATCAATCACATCTTCCAAATCAATCACTTCTTCCAAATCATTCTTATAATTACTGCTGTACTTTTCAATATCACAGTTAACTACTTTGTTATTTTTGCCTACATTATTAACTGTAAAAATCATTTTTTATTAGTACAAGGACGGAGGTGAGTGGTGGTGTTGAAAGAGTGAAAAGCTTTGTTTATTTAGGGGTTAAGCTGAACGCGGATGGAGGATGTTTGAGCGCTGTTACGGCTAGAGTTTGTGTGGGATGGATGAAATTTAGGGAACTTGGTGGGGTATTGTGTGGAAAGAAATGGTCAGTGAAAATGAAGGGGAGGGTATATAAAGCATGTGTAAGAGCAGCGATGGTATATGGTGGTGAAACTTGGGTGCTGGGGAGAGAGGAGGAAAGTGTACTGCAGAGGGCTGAAAGAGCTATGGTGAGGATGATGTGTGGGGTTAAAGTGAAGGATAGGAGGAGGAGTACAGAGCTGATGTCGATGATGGGACTGAATGAGGACATTGTGACATTGATAAGGAGATCGAGATTGCGGTGGTATGGACATGTGTTGAGAAGGGATGAAAGGGTCGGGATTAGGCGAGCGTTGGAGTTCGAGGTTGAAGGAGTGATAGGAAGGGGTCGTCAGCGATTGGGATGGAGAGAGCAGGTGGAGAAGGACGTAGTGAAAGCGGGGTTGCGTGATACTGAGGCGAGTGACAGATGTGAATGGCGTCGAGGGGTATTCCGGTTTCATCATAGTTAGCCAAACGGCAACCCCCGATCTCGGGGAAAATGTCGTCTAAACGTGTGTTGTTGTTGTATAAGGAATTAATTTTGGCATGTGTAATAAATAATAAAATAATATTTTTACACTTTTTTTGTTAATGTTAATGTTTTCAATGTTAAAACTCAAACAATCACAATAATCAATTAAATGTTTGAATGTAATTAATTCATAATTATTTCAATTGATTTTCGCTATCTTAAAAAGGAATAAATTACATTTGTTACCTAAAATTGGTAACTTTCCTTACTTGTCAACGGTAAAATTGTTTCAGACAAAAAAAAATCAGCTGAACTTAACAGTTTTTGTTGTTGTAATCAAAAATTATGCATAAATATTGCGGTGTGTGTTAGTGTTTATAACTCAGAAGTTCTGACACGAGGCCAAGAAGTGAATTAGTTCATCATCGACATTGCGCCAAGATTTCTGCACCACCCAAACCGACCAATCGAGTGATTCATCAGTATTTTATAGCTTCTTAACAAAAATAGATGGCAAAGGACAAAGGATTAAACATTTATTCAAGTAATGCACAACAGGCGCATGGTTGCCTTTCCTCAAACTCATCTCTATAGTCAAATGGCATCAGAGCTCATGGTTCAGTCACAAGAAAATTTCACTTTTAAGAGATTCAGCAACAGGAGATTGGACAATATTTAGACCCCACATACATCCTGTAATTGATGTTCTTTGCGCCCATATCCTGTGTGTGGTTTAAAGGGAAGAGTCAGTTGATGACTTTGTTATGAGGCGTCAACCGATCTTTACGTCATCGCTCAAATTAAGTGAGTTACGAAATTCTAGGAAGAAGTGGACTATAGATGTCTAGATGTTGCATCTGCAATATTCCTAGTACTCATTGAAAACAATTGCCGGTTGCAAACTCACTAGAAATATCCTCAACTGAATCTACCAAGAAAGCAGATGGTGATAAGCAACTCAACTTGCACAATCCAGATTTAAGCTATTTTATGTCTAATTATTTTTTGGGTTGTTTTTATAAAACATCTTTAATAGTTTTTTTATTACATTACATTATCATTAGGAAGTTATTTTTTAATATCTTCCAAATGTTACTGGCTACAATCAGCCAAAAAAATTTCAAATAGGAAACGTTTTAGTTATGTTATTGAATGATGGCTCGTTATCATCAACATTGTCCATTCATTATTGTAATTACATTCGTCATCACCACCATCATAATGATCGTCATAATCACCACCACCAACATCATCATCATCATCATTATCAGCTGACGATCAAGAGGGTGTGATGGACAATTTGTTGGAAGCTCTGAAGAGCGGCAGTGCATTCAACATGAACAGGAAAGAAGGGGCCAGGAGGAAGAGAGCTGCCGGGGGTGAGTTGATGCTGGTGATGATGATGATTGGCTAGTGATGATGATAGCAATGGGGACGACAGTGATAGATTGATTACTAACGCATCAAATGCTCATAAACATTTTCCTTCAGCTTGTTATTAACCATTGTATTAAGAAAGAAATTGTAGCGCCAATCAAAACATCTCAAAGACGATTTAAAATGAACAAAAATTACTGTGCTTGACTAAAACAAAATAAATGCACAAATAAATACAAAGTCATGGTAATTTCACAGAAAATAAGAATGTTTTCAATTCTTTTTTGAACGTTGCGAAACAAAGTCCAGGTCTTTTCGATGAAGTCGGCAGGCTGTTCCAGACAGCCGGACCAGCAACAGCAATGCCTCTCGAACCAAACTGTAACTGCCTTACAGGAACTGTCAGAAGATTCATATCATCCGATCTTAAATGGGAATGTTTTTTGGAAAATTTATCTGAAATGTACTTTGGTGACATACCATTTAATGATCTGAACATAATCATCGCAATCTTGAAAATTATTCTTTTTTCAACCAGTGAAAAATTTAAAATTGAGGTTACATGGTCAAATTTTAATTTGCAGCCATATTCTGGACAGACTGGAGGATTGCAATTGATCTACTAGGCAATTTATAAAACAAACCATTGCAGTAGTCTAGTCATGATGTTGAGAACATGAAACAAATTCTCCGTCATTGATCGATCTAACGATATAAATTTCTTACGTAAATAATACAGGAGGCTGATATCATTTCCATGTGGTCTTTCATCGATAGTTTATTGTCAAGCAGAACACCCAAATTAGAAGCTGTCGTACTGAGAGATATGCTAACATCCCCTATTCCGATTAAATCGACATTCACTTTTGACAACCGTTGCCAAGTGCCTAACGGGAGTTACTGGATCTTGCATTGATTTAACTTCACTAAGTTTTTTGACATCCAATGGCCTACACAGACGTCTTTTAATCTTCTTTTAGGTTCTCTTATCTGCTTCTTTGCCCAAGTTTCCCTTTGGATTATATTTTTCAATTTAGAATTTGACTGACTCTAATGGCATGAGTGTTGTTGTTTAGATCACAGTCTGCCTTGCAATATGTTTTGCAGCACTTCTGAGTCCATAGCCCTAGCCTACAATTTCTTGCGTCCGCTAATTATTTTAAAACCTCGTCTAATCTGGCGAGCGACGCGCCTCCATTTTTAGTTTTTTTTATTTCTTTTTCCTGCATTTTTGATTGAGCATGCAAGTATCATACATCTTATCTTCAAATTTCATGAACTGAGTTTGATCTTGGAATGCCCAGTGGTCTTTCGTTTGTATCCTGTTTGATTGATAGGGGACATGAATATTTTAACCGGGCAACGTTAATGACGAATTCGTGATGTATGTTCAGTACAGATACACATCAACGCATACAGACAAGCGTTTTTGAACATATAAAATTTACTTGCTCATTGTATGTACATTAATAAATACCTGCAAGTGTGCGTATGGTTAATGTATGTATGAACGTGAACAAACAGCGGAACGACGAGCACAGCTTGTGAAATCGAGATCACGAAACAACACTGACGAAAATGGGGGTGGCGATGATGAAGACGGCAAATTGACGATAGTAACGAGCAACAGCAACAAGGAGAATGTTCGCAACAGTCCCCGCCACAAGCAACATCACCCATTCAAGCTTCCCGACAAGGGCCTCGATGAACTTATGGCCTCCTCATTTACCTGATTTTTTGTTTCATTCTTTTCCGGCTTAATTTTAATTTTATTATTAATTCCCATAGTGACCCCTTTCTGTTATTTTTATTTCCCAATAGATTTCAGGTGGTTATGATTGATGATTAAACCAATAATGAACGTTACGAATGCTGTACAATTTGATTTAGGACAATTTGTTAGCATGTTCAGCATGAATAGCTCTGGTTGCACTGGTAATGAAACTACTCTCAACTTTAAAAGTTCACCAACATTATTTTCAAATATTCTTAATAATAAGAATAAAATTAATCTTGTTTAACAACGGATGGAGACTATAAACGAGGATTGATTGATTGATTTTTTAACAATGAGTGCATTGAAGTGTGTGGCGTGTTTACATTCATGCATTGATCCGCTTGTTTGTTATATATTATCTTGATCCATTAGACGGTGGCTTATAATTTTTGAAGTAACGACCTAATTGAGTTTTATTTTAATAGTTAGATATTGGCGTCTATTAATTAAATATTTTTAGTTTATAACGATGACGAAACAATGATAATTATAATGATAATTGCAATAATTTTATATATCTTTATTTCATTTAAATATAAATAAACTTCAGTTATTAACACAACTAAAAATAGAACTGAAAATGTTATAACTTATGCAAAAATAAAAACTCAAATGTAGCATAAAAATCCGTCCTTCATTCATTCATAATCCTTTATTCGTTCGTCATCAATTTCCCATCAGTTCATCCGTTCCGTCTAATGAGCTTGATTACAGCGATTTATTTCATCTGTGACATGTCTGACGTAGCCATTGAATCATTGTGATAGAACATTAGACAAATTATCATTTAAACACACACATATATATACATATACATATATGTGTGTGCGCGCACGTGTGTGCTATCAGTAGGTGAGACTGTGTGGTTCACATCGTTTTTGTACTTTAATTTTGCTTCAATCCTCACACGTTCACTGTCACCAGTGCCTTCTCTATATCTAGTATTCAATTCATACAAATTTCTTGTTTGTCTATATATATATATATATATATCTATATATAGACATATATATTATATATATACATATATTATATATATAATATAGGAACGAACTCAGCGGCTCTGCCTCACATGGTTGAGCGCCTTTAAACGTGCATTGCGATGATGATGATGGATATATATATATAATGTATATATATTCATCATATATATATATATATATATGTGTGTGTGTATGTTTACACAACTAAATTATATCTTGAAATAAATTTTATACATACGTGTATGTATATATGTATATATATATATTATATTTATGCATATATATTTATATGTATATATATACATATATATACATAATCATAAATATATATATATATATATTGTGTACTTACATGTATATGCAGTTTATTGGTACTGTCCTCCATTCCATGTTTGGTTTAAGATTTCATAGAAAATTAATAGCATATTATAATTTGTCGAGAGGTGTTTTGCGTGCAAATGTCTTGTCACCTTACAATGCGACGGCCTCTAATATTATTTATCATCATTGTTACCATCATCACTACCAAGTTGTTTCTATTTTTAATACAACAAACAAGCCGTTAATATAAAATGCGACCCTCATTACAATCAATTTAAGATAGGAATGGCGGCCTTTGCGTTATCTTTAGTTTATTTTCTATCTTCACTGCCCAGACACGTTCATTCAAATGAACAGTTGAGTCCAGAAGATAGAAAATGAAACTAGAAAATGTTGAGGCCAGTCACCAAGTCTCAAATTAATTAGGTTCTTACCTATCAAGTTTTTGATTTTATTATTATTGTTGTCATTGTTATTAATATTAACATTATCATTATTGTTGTTGTTTTTTCCAGTTGTTTTTCAATAAAGATTCCTAATAGCAATAACTGCTTAATTTTATAACTGCTTTATTTTATAATTAAACTCACAGAGTCATGCATGTTCAAAATCATATTAAGTTTTATTCCTTTTTTGGTCTATGTAAAAAATTCAACAAAATTTACACCAAAATACCGTAAAAAAAATTATGAAATTTTTTATTTAAATTAAATTTTCTTTTTCTATATATATATATATATATATATATATATATATATAATTTTCATATTATATATATATGTTATCTTTTCTATATATATATATATAATATATAATTTCTGTTTTATATACATAATAATGCAAATTAAATTTTATTGTTGGAGTAATTAAGTGATCTTCAATTTTGTTTTCCCTCGATTCTTCGTCGTCAGTTCTGAGAAATTATCCTGCATTAATGAAATAAAATGATCCATGCAATCAGATTTAATGTTACTGGTCAAACGTTCAAACTTTTAAATGAAATTTCTTGGGAATCATATTGAAACTTAATTATGTGTTACCTATTTTCATTAAGCTTATTTTTATATAGGACTTGTGAAGTTATATATGCCGCTTTTCATAAAGTTGTTCAAGTCTTAAGATGATTTTTAAGAAGGTATGTTGCAAGATGGATTTGATAATTAACTAATTAATAATTTTTAACCATCATCTAATGTGTATGTTCAGTTGAATGTTTTAATAATCAACTGTTGGTCATTTAAATTTTTAATAATATTATTAAAAATAAATAAATAATAGTTATAATGATGATGATCAAGTCGGCATACTTTGTCGTAAATAACTTTGACAAGGAGGGAACAACTTGGGCACCTGGCCACTTCTTCGCCATTCTCAAGGTCCTCCTGTGGAAAGAGAAACAGTCTCATGTTTTGCGTATCAACTAATTAATAATTGTGTGGTAAGAGGCCGTCTCATGTATCAACTAATTAATGCTTATGTGTTATAAGATTACATAATTAATCAAGTTATTAATTGATCAAATTAAACGAATTAATAATAAGAAACAGTTTCATGTGGCATGTCTTATCTTATGTATCAACTAATTAATAATGTGTGTTATAACCTAATTTGATATGTAGTTCACTTCACATATAAGCAGTATTCTCTATTCAAGTTAAGTACCTAATTAACTATGTATGCTTTTTTTATTATTTAAATATGTTTAGTTATGTCTTTAGGAAGAGAATAAAAGTACACTTGTGGGATAAAGCGTTCATGAAAACCTAAATGAGCGCTATATATAAACTCTACGTATGTATAATAATAATAATAATATGTTATATAATAATAATTATATACGTATTATATTATGTTTGTATTAGAATTAGTTTGCCTCTTGCCCTTTTGCTTAGCTTATGATAAATTATAAAATAAAGAGATCTGAATTGGAGTAAAAGGAGTAGATTAGTTAGTGTCAGCTGAAATATTTTTCCAAGTTCTAACCATCGTTATCTCAAATTTGTCTCCACACGGGCACGGGTAGAAGAATGTTTCTGTATCCTTGTCATATTCCATATCTTCAATTTCCACCTCGTCGTGATAAATGGACATTTTTAATGTAAAAGTGAATAAAATTTTATAACAAAAATTAAATATCGACGATTCCGCTTCTTGAGCCTCCCTTTGAATGATAGAGCCTTTACGCTACATCATTTGCGAAAGCGATAAAAAAATGTCAACAAGCATAGACTAATTACCGTGCGTAAAGCAAAGAAATTGTAATTTTATTTAACAGGTGGTCCCAGTGGTTACGTACTGTCATACATATAGAATACATCATCATCATCATAGCTATTAACATCATCAGCATCGTCGTCGTCGTCATCAACATCCTCGTCGTCATCATCATCACCGTCATCATCACTAACCTATCCCAAACGACTTCTTCGTCCTGTTTACATTTTCCAATATCAACTCCAAAAAAATTTGCGATGACGATGATGATGATAATATTAATGGCGAAGTAAATGGTGTTGAAAATGATGACAATGACGATGTTGTTGAAAATAATGATGAAGATGATGTTGAAGATGGTGACGATGGTAATGATGATGTTGTTGAAAACAGTGATAGAGGAAAAGATGAAGATGATGATGATAAAGGCGTGATTGATGGTGGTGATGCTTGGAGATAATTATTTATCTGATCTCTGATGTAATAAAGTATGCAAAGATGTAAAATGATGGCAACTAATATGATGATGTCATTGAAAATCATTCATTCAGCAACAATGTTGCTACCACCTGTGTTGGAGGCACTGGAGAAAGTGATGGTGATAACGGTGATGATGAGAGTGATGATGATCTTTCAAGGATGAACATTATTAAAGCCGTCGTGGTATGAAAAGTTCGCATTTCTCAAAATTTGATTGATAAATAAACCGACTGGTGTGTTTGATATTTTCCAATTGACTTGTCACCAGCCAGCGTGTATAATGTATCTGTAAATGTTTTTCTGTCAGATATTGCAAATAATTTATTTATTTTAATTTTCAATTAATTGTTGGTTATCAATTCATATATTTAATAATCTTCAATCAATCAATTAATCAATTAGCTTGTAAAGCGCTATTTCCGCAATGTTCAACAGCGCTCCTCAATGAATTTAGCAAACAGATGGGTTTTGAGATCCGCTCTGAACTTCGTAAGTGATGGAAAAGTAGTCAGAAAAGTAGGTAGAGAATTCCAGAGAAAAGGGCCAGAAAAAGCAAAAGTAGATTTATCAAAAGAGTGTTTAACACGAGTTAAGAAGAAGCGAGAACAAGAAGACGATCGTAAACCGGGGCGTTTAGGTTCAATTAAAATATGTGACAAGTACTTAGGAAATAATACTTATACATGAACGTGCAAATTTTAAAAATTATTTTATATTTTATAGGTAGCCAGTGCAAGAGAACAAGATATGGAGATATATGAAAAAAGAAAGGGGCACGAGCAGCTAGACGAGCAGCAGAGTTAAAAGCTTTATTTAAAGGATAGAGTAAAGAATCAGGAAGATAATAATAGAGCGAGTTATAGTAATCAATCCTAGATAAGACTAACGAAATAACAAGGAGAAGAGTAGGATCATTAAGAAAAGACAAAAATTTTTTTATTCTACATAATGAAAGAAAAAACTTCTAGCAACACTATTAATCTGAGAAGAAAGAGACATTGTAATAGAATCAAAGATAAAGCCTAGACTACGAAACTTGTAAGAAGCATCAAGAGTTTTAGAACCAGGTAAGGTAATAGGAGGAAAAGTAACAGAGTGTTTAGATTTATTAAGACAAATTAATTCAAATTTAGAAGCAATAAGTTCAGGACACAAAGAGTCAGACCAAGCGATAATTGAAGAAAGACATAGAGATAGATTATAAAGAACACTGTTGAGATTAGATGGAGGAAAAGAAGTATAAATATAAAAATCATCAGCATATAGTTGACCAGCGAAAGAAAAGTTATTAATAATACGAGGTAGTTCAGAGGTATAGAGTATAAATAGAAAAGGGCCAAGGATAGAACCATGAGGTACCCCGAAAGTAAGAGTAGAGGAGTTAGAAGTAGAATTATTGAGAACAACAGAAGAAAAACGATTACAGAGATAAGAAGAAAACCAAGATAGATAAGAATCAGTTATATTAAAAGAAAGATCTAACAGCCTCAAGAGAATAGTATGATCAACAGTATCAAAAGCAGAAGAGAAGTCAAGAGCAAAAAGAAGAGTTTAAATTATAAATTGTGATTGTGTTCGTTGTGAGTGTTCAACATGGAAATGGAAGGTAGAAGTGGTATATTGTAATTAATGAGCAGACCTACCTCTTTGTTTTGGTTGATTGTTTACCTTCAAGCGCAAGAAATTAAAGATCACATTTCAATCATAAATTTAATAAGAATATAACGTTACATTCAGGAACCTTCACTCACATAAACTGGGACACAGGCGTTCACTTTCATGCTGCTGCTAAATATTTAAAAAAATTTAAATATTTTGATCTAATATTTATTTAAAATAATCAAGTCAGTGTAAAAAACTGAAAGTGAACAAGCACCGTAAAGTGAGCTTCAGCTATTTTAAACTTTTTAACAAACACACAAAAAACATTTTTTGGATTTTTTGGCAGTTCGTGATATATGATATCTCAGTGCCAGTGGGAGAGTGTCAAAGGATACGTGATATCCCCTTTTGAAAATACCACGATATCTCGCAAATGCTTCACCAAAATCACTGAAAAAGATACTAAAAATTCTAAAACTCCAACAAATTGATGTTGACGAAATAAGATGTGTTTCGAAAAAACTTAGATTGACATTAAAGAAACATACAATTTGAGTAGATGTAACCGAAAAAATATGAAATATTTTTTTGCATACTTGCAAAAACGTATTCAACAAGGATAAAAACGGTAAACTTTCTTTCGTTTTGAAATCATGCGAAACATACTTTTCAGAAACTATGAAGCATACACATTTGCACAATTTTTCAATTCCTTCATGGATTCCTAGATTGCTAAACCACAACTAGATAAAGATGTGACATGCCCAACGTATAAAGATGTTACAAGAGCAGTTAATAGACAAAACACGTGCTTCGGCATGCCCAATTGACCAAATCTTAATAATAACTGCAAAAAGTTGCCCGATTGTCTGCACTTTTTTGCATCAGATAATTATGGAATTTAAAAAATGTCCCAAATTGCTGTAAGCTTGCTGCAACAATACTAATCTATAAAAAGGGTAGCAAGGATGATTCTTTCAAATTGAGACCGATCACGTTTCAGCCAGTCCGGTACGAAATATTTTCCTCAATAGTAAAAAAGTTCTCTATTTTGATTCAGAACGGGTTGCAAGACATGAGTAATCAAAAAGGATTCTGATGGTGACAACAAATATTCAGAATTACTAAGCTTTCATATCAAGGATACAAAAAAAACACTACCGAAGTTTAGTAATTATATTGTTTGATCCTAAAAGGCCTTTGGAGAAGCTCATTGTGATCTGATTCGAGCATGAATAAAATTTCATCATATTCCAGAGTAATTCCCGCGGATTTTTTACAACGTGTATGCACAACCTGAAATGTCTGTTAATGTGAATGGCGAATGGACTCAACCAATCAGAATTGGCAAAGACGCCTGACAGGGTGATCCATGGTCACCGCTTTTGTTTAACTTGTGTTTCAACACGTTAATGAAAACTTTACAAAAGCCAGAATTGATAAACTTAGGTTACATGTTGCGAACTGGGCAAACGTTGTAAATGGTTACAATTTGCAGACAATGCAGTAGTTGTATCAAACGGCGTCGGAGACGCGCAAAAGTTGACAGAAATATTCTCTGCTTGGTGTCAATGGGCTAAGTTGATAATCAGATTGCAAAATGCATCTCAAGTGTTATGATGAAAGTCAATAACAAATATATGTAAATTGAACTTACCTTCTATCTAAAAATTGAAAAAATACCTCAAATAAAAATTAACAAGTCTTTCATCTACTTAGAAAAATTATCTGATTTCAAAATGGATAAACAGGCCACATAAGCCAAAGTAAAAGAAAAACTTGACTGTTACTAAATATTACATTCGGTTTATTCATTAAAGTTCAGACGAAACTGAAATATTCAAATTATACTTTTTTCACAAATGCAATTTGATTTAAAATCGTATCACTTGGATTGACTAAAACTTGAATTCTAAAAATACTGAACATGTGAGAGTTTGGCTGAATCTAACAATAACTGCGTGTGTTAAAGAGACGATAGTTCTCTCTAGTTCACTCTAAGCTTCAGGGCGGTTTAGTCCGATACCAACGCTAAAAATATAAAAGTTTGTAAATTTATCAATAAAAAAATGATCGCGGACAAGCACTATGTAAATTGTTAAAAACTGGACATTTAAACAAAGCCAAAAAAACATTTCTTCAAACTAAAAACTTAAAGTTTAGTGATGAAACGTGTTCTAGGCCATACATCAAATTCCAATATTCTTCGACGATCTCAGATGTTAGAATATCTACCTGAATCTATATTCAAATTTGCCAAACAAGCCATTCTACAACAGCTTTCTTCGGCTGCAAACCTAGCACGATGGAAGCGAATCAATGATCCACGGGCAAACTCTGCGGTTCTGATAGACCACAAACAAACACGTTCTTTGAAATTGTGAATCTCAAATAGCTTTTAATAGATACACAAGACGTCATAACTCCATTTTAGATGTAATATTTGATTGGTTTAAATCTATTACAACGCCCAATCAAAACCTGTTTGTTGATGTAATGATGACTGAAGTTAAACCAATCACAGATGGCTTCGTCTCCGATCTCAAAGAACTGATAAAATGCCTTAAGCTGTCACCTTTACCAGAATTCACTCAATAAATTTATGAAGAACGGTATAATTCAATCGTTTGATATTTATTGTAATAGGAAAAATTTACGACTAAATTTTTCGTATGGAGATGCTAATTAAACATTTTGTGAGTGTTCGTAAGAACATAAATTAAATCATTACCAATTACTAATTTGTCACAATCTAGAATCCTCTAGGCAATACAAGAGAAATAAATACTCTAATA